GCGGTCTATGTACGCATGATACAAACCAGACACATTTCATCGATTTTCGTTGTTATTTCGATTCGATCCATGAACACATTGAACAGTCTGGTCCTTGCATATACACTCTATGTTCACTCACATGTCTATGTTTCATAAAATCCATATAAAATGAGAGCTTCTGTGATTTGTTTTTTTATTTTTCAGTTCAACACGTACGCATGCTACTCCGCTTTGTTTCAATAATAACATCAAACGACACCAAAACGTGTATCAAACAAAGAGACTCAAAATCCGGTATCCTAGCGAATGAGAAAATGTCAATGGAATAAAAAAAAACTATCATCCGACAAAGAATGATGACATGAATGGAAAGAAAAAAAACAGATGTTCTGCTTTTGAAATGTTTCTTCATTTTGAAGCACTATGACCGTTGTGGAAAAGTCAGATCTTTCGCACATTGCTCTTTCTACAAATCAACTAAATGTACGTGCTATCAGCAAGATTCAAAGTATCATTCATGTCTGCGGCAAATCTCAAAACGAGCGATTTCATGTCTCATAAAATGCTCTCATCAATTGTAATTGTCAATTCGTTAATTTCCATTTAAAGCCGGATTTTTGTAAAACTTTGGTAAAAACGACTTGAATGCATCTCAATGAGAATTATTATAAGGATGTCATTTTTTAAAGTTAATGAAACTAAATTATCATCAGTTTGATGTCAATAGCAGTCGATGTAGTCGAAAGTAGAATAGAACTGGCGTTATATAGAATGTTGGCCCTATGTATTTTCACAGCAATGGAGCTTATATGATTGCTCCTAATAGCAAAATCACCGCTACACTCTATGCCACGATGCTTTTAGCGTATAATTCACGGTATGCACATGTACATATGCTTGTAAATTTGGAATTCATAGCCAATCGACGGAGATTTCACTTGTTCAACCGATGTTGCGTTTGTTTGTTTGTGTGTGCGCGTGGCGTGCGAGCGTCCTAGCTCGGAAATATTATGTCGACCTCATATAATCAAGGTCGATGACATTGAATAAAAAGTGCACCTCATTGAATGAACTGTAAATCGACATTTCGGCTTCTACGCAGTTTTGAAACATGCTCAACTTTTTCGCAAAGCCCATCAAAGCTCGAAGATAGCTTCTATTTTGTCTGCAGTGAATCAGAGCACATTTTTATTACGGCCATCATTTCTCTGCTAAGATTGTGTTTGTACGATAAGTTGAAAACTTTGACAAATACCATGAGACAGGTTTGCTGAGTTCCCGTGTTTATACCAAACGCATTTTTTCAATGATTTTTTTTTTATCTATTTGAATGTTCTTTGAAGAGACGCCATACAAACGATCATCCTCATTTTATTCTCGTTTTCAATAAGACGAGAGAATATAACGGAGATTCACAGTTCAATCACAAAATAACATGCAATAGAATGGGGAAGAGCTGCTTAAATTCTTCCTGGATTTATAAACAAAAACGAAATCCAAATCAAAGTCAAAACGAATATTTTTCCTGCATTTTCGAGAAAAATTCAGCTCGATACAACTCTATTTGGTGACCTTATCTCACCGTGAGAGGTGAAATTATTAAATTTGACGATAGCACAAAATCGCTTTAAATTGTAAACATAACAAATTATGCGATTTTATTTTCAGCAACATGTTTGGCTTCCTAATTCGAAATGAGTAGATTTTGTTTGTTTCTGCACGAGAATCGTCGCTTAGTGAAACAAAAAAACAGTGTTTCGTTTCAAATCAATGTCGTTCATTGTAAAATACACGTCAAGGCTGTTCACGCAAACGAAAAAAAAAACATATACACACAAACTGAATAGGTAGCAGGAAATAGTCGTATGTTATGTATTGATTTCGCGGTTCGATTTCGTTTGGAGCTGTATTCCGTTCAATCAAAGAGGTGTGTAAGATTGATGTGCGGGAAAACAAACTGACACTTGCATTGCTCTACGCATAAAATCTCGAATGTCCCAAAATCACTCTCAATTACCATGTGTGACAATATAGGAAGAGGAACAAATGTTGTGCGAACAAGTTTAAATTAAAAGAACGTTGTTCAGATAACGTCATTCTAATTGAAATGACTTTGTGCAAATCCAAGGTTTTTCGCGTGTAATTTTCGTTGCGGTCACTTCTCTTCACTGGAATGTTACGTATCAATTCGAATAAGTCAAAGGAATTTCGACCGTTCATGGAGTGTCTTCGAACAAAATGACCGATCGACTGACCGCCCCATCGTATGCAAACACAAGTGAATATGTGTGTTTGTGTGTGTGTGTTCGAGAGAGAGCCAAGAAAACAAAGAAGAAAAAAATAACAAATTTAATCGAATTAAATGGACGTTTGAATGGGCAACGGACACGCACACAATCCCATAAATGTACTATTGCTATCTATCGAACCGAGCAAAATTTGCAAAGCTCGTCAATATCGCAACCAGACACAATACAAATATGTATCCATTGTTTTTTCCATCCATTATACTGATTATGGACATAGCAAAGCATAGAACACACCATGCGATGAATAATGGAAACCAGCCAAAAGGAACAACAAGAAAACAAAACAAACAAAATGAGCGTAAAAAATGAAATAAAATAAAATTTAAAAAAAAAAACACAACAAATGATGAATAATACTTTGAAAACATACGTTTTCGCTGCGGCCATTCGTTTGATAAAAATTGTTGATGAGCATGGTCGGTTCGGGAAAGTACGCGATTTTTCAATTCGGAAAACACTCAAATATTCAACGAACCAAACAGACGACTGCCTATTGATATAGTTGAAATAATATTCAAACTGATGAAGAAAAAAACAACAACAACAGCAACAGCAACAGCAGCCACAATCCTTCAATGTATGCTCGCTCTCGCACACAAATACCATATGTAAATTACATACACGGAACTCATATCATATTCGTGTGCAGAGACTGTTTCGATTTCGTATCGAGTTGTCGTGTTATGCTGTGTGTTTTTTTCTCTCTCGTTGTTTCGTGTATTCGTTTCGTATATTCCGCCTTTTTCGAACGAAGTACATAATAAACACCAACCAACAGACAGCCGACAAAAAATCATATGTTTTTTGAGAATGCGATTGAAGACAGAAAAAAAGCAAGCATGTAAAGGTCACACTGGCTCAAATATATAATGTAACCAAGGCCACCATAATATAAACAATCATTTTTATATGAATCTATGTGTTTGTGCTGTTAGCGCAGTGATGCTTTTTTTTTGTTCCGATCAAAATATATGACTCAAAATGTTCAGACACGCCAAGTTTGTGTACTCCTCCCGTTCTTTTCCTCATTTGGGCAACAATGATTATGATGAATAGACAAAAAAAAGTGCACATCGATCACCTGCTGATAACAATAAAACTGACGAATCGACACATTCAATGTAATACTAATAAATAATCGAACACTTCAATTGTGAATTCACTCAACGAATTTAAATTTTGCTGTCTCGATTGTGCGCAAAAGAAAGTGGCCTTACGGTTCGATAGCATACACTCATTCATAATCACATTGAAATAAAATATGAACTATGACATTTCGGTCAATGTTTCAAGCACACATTCCTTCTATCGTTGACATGCGTTTGTTCGTGTTTGCTCGTGTTTTTGTGCATTACAGTCACAGACAGGGTGTTTGAACTCTGTTTATCTTATGTTGAATGGAGAAAAAAAAAACAGCAACAACGAATTATGGAGAATGAGGAGAAAGTTCAAAAGTCTAGTAACTTTGAGCTGTCACCGAATTTATTGCACTAAAATGTTTGACTTTTTCTTTGTTTCCCACTTTTTTCTAATCACCAAGAAAATCTTTTCACAGGCACACACAATTTTTGACAGTTTCATGCTTCAGTAAACGTTTCACAATTGATCCAAGTTCTGTGGAAAATGCTATTTGGATTGATAACACTGTGAATAAAATGAGCATTTGAATGTGAAGCGATAACATTTCACGTTTAAATTCAAAAAGTCATCAGATTTAATTGAATGTTCGAGCAAATGGTGGCGAAGAGTACGAATGAATATGCGTTTCATAGAAAACTTCAACTGACTAGAGTATATGTACAACACACGAAATGTAATACCACATCTTGGCAGAATCTTTCATTTGTCATCGTCAAATCGACTCGGTTTATTCTCATATCACATTGTTTTTTGTCTTAATTTTTTCTTTCTATCCTAGATATATGTTGATTGTCGCATTCTGTATGATTTATCTTGTTTAATCTTCTCATCATACGAGTAAATATTTGCGCGTGTTTTTGTTTTCGTTTTTCATTTCTCACAGCTTGTTGTTGTTTTGCATTTGTGTCGAGAATTGCAATGAATTTCAAAATAATTCGCTTCTCAGAAGAAAATGAAACAGAGAAAATTAGCACATTCAATCAGATTTAAAGGCAACAGCAATAATAACAATGCAAATTGTTTATAGAGTGTTCGTTGTCCATGATGAACAGCAGGCTGTAAATTGGTATAACTCTATCGAACCGCATAAAAATGAAGGGAAAAAAAAATCGAACGATTGGTTTTGAACAAATATAAAAATATATAAAATGTAAAATATGTATATAGTATGAACTATGAAATATACGGACACCCTGATAAACATATATAAACGATGGCTCGAAAGTGATGCAGAATAGGTATTTAAATCGAATATGTATATATGAAATGCAAGCGAAGCGAAGAAAAATAAAATATAATCGAAAAATGAAAAACAGCTTCGCAATCCGCGTGAAGAATTACACGAATAAAAATAAATTTGCCTGTGCTGCAGCTGTGAATGTACGATTCACAGGCCGTCTAGATAGACGCAGAAAGAATAATGTATGTGTTAAATAAATTTCGCTTCTCTGAAATGTACGGCAAAGGCCTCTTTTTTTTATTTTATATGTTGCCTTTGTTTCTCGCAGCAGAAAAGATTGTACAATGAATTGTCTGTTTTTTTTTCTCTTCTCTATACAAAATAAATACCAGAAACAAATACAGATCGGCACAAGGCACAAGGCACACGGCATGAGCACGCATCGTGCAACAGTGCTACCTAATCATGTTGTTTGTGTGTAGAGTGAATACGAGTAAACTTTGTTTCACATGAGCGTAGTTTTTAATATCGCAATAATATACTTTGCTTCCTGCTTTTTTATTTAGGCTTTGAGCAGTATTAAGCAAACGCACACGCACTCAAAATCATCTTTCTTTGATTGTGGTCGTTTAACATTTCATATTATATGTATATATTTTATTGTTTTTATTTCGATCATCACACTGTAAACTTTGCAATAAACTGTTGTGGTGACGTGTGTATCAATTGTTATCTCTTCTTCGAAATTTACAAGACTTGGAACTAAACACGAAGGATTTTTTTTTTTCCTTTATTATTTCTTCACTTCGCTGAAATTCACTTTACATCCACTGAATTTTTTCGTTCAATTTCGCTGTCTCATCTTGTTTGTTTGTTCTTGGCTTAGTGTGTGTGTGTGTGTGTGTGTGTGAGAGAGCGAGAGCGTTTGTGTTACTCACACATAATGACTTTTCCCATGAATTGTGACAGTGTATGCATCGCTTGAGCAGTACACACGTACACAAACATTCATACTATACACATAGTCGCGTATTCCACTCACATGTATTGGTGAGATTTTACAGCTGGATGAAATTCAATACTTACGATTCTCTTATGTCGTAGTGATAATATTCATAAAAAAAATCCACGTATAGAGAAAGAGCCAAAAAAGAAACAACAACACGAAATAAATTGTATATGGAATCTATTATACAGAAAGAAAAAAATAAACAATTTTTTTGCTTGTTTTCTTTGCTATTTCTCGCTGCCTCTGGTTTTATATTTAAATTTATTCGGTCGCCACGTTAGCTTGAAGCGACAGGCACAAAACTAATGTTTTTTTTTTCCAAAGAAATTTGTTTATCGGTCGACGTGAGATTGTCGATGTCAATATATCCTATGCACAAAGCAAAAACAATGCACACACAAAATTTCGGCTATATTTCGTTTCATTCGAAATAAAAAATGCGAATTGCTACGTTTATTTTGAAACTTCACTAGCAAACGCACAAACTGTGTATAAAGACAAATATAACTGTACTTTTTTTCTTTCTCTTTCTCTCTTTCTTCGTCTTTGTCTTTATCTTTCTCTTCTTCCTCTTCGGATTCTTTGCCTATACGTCAAATCTTTTGTATCACAAGACTTGGTTTCTATATTTACTGTATCACATGCACGCGTTAGTACGAACTTATCATTTTGAACATCGGATTCGAATGGAGTTTTGTCGTTTTGTCACACGAAACAATTATCACAAGAAAATCAAACGATGCTAATGCTACGGAAATGTATCATTTCTCATTTACCTTAAATCTCTTTCACTGACAAAAATTCACCAGATTTTCGATAATTTTTTTCAAGTAATAGAATTTGCTTTGTAGATAGATTTCGTTTCAATTAATATCTTTCTCTATTCATTATTGTCTTTTTGAACTTGAATTAGCTTCGGAGAGCTCTTTGCTCAGCGAGTACTGAATCGCGACTGAAACTTATTACACACCGAATGAAATTCCAATTTCTCGAATTCCTGCAGCGTATTATACTTCACACTCAGTCGATTTCTTTGTTCGCATGTTCTCACACAAACACAAACCATACGAATTATCCACACAACACGTACGGAGCAGCGATTGAGTCACATAAAGAAAATCAACAAAAAGCAGCATGAGAGAAAGGAAACTGTGAGTGAACTGTTATACACTCACATACACACTTGCAGACAGAGAGAAAGATACAACATCGTGGACGCACCAATACATGCAAGCGGCCGTACAAGTGAAGTGTACGTCATTTTTATGGCCATATTCTCTAGCTATCTGCTCTGAATGTCGTTCGTTTCAAGTTTTGCGTTTGTTTTTTTTGTTTTTTTTTTTGGTTTTTCGTGTTTTTTTTCCTTCGTTGGCTCAAAAGTGACATGCAGTACATGAATAATACTTGAATGAGGTCGGACTAAGAGCGTTGGGAAAAACGAGATAGTTAAAGAAATAGATAAACGAAACTATATGCTTACGCCGTTGACATGTTGTGCCATTGTACGTTGGTGTCGATGTGTGTGTACGCATGCCACACATATGACGTATGGAAAACACAGGTGCGCGTTCATTCACTGTGTGTATGTGGCGTTGTGATCGCATGTCATTGTTGCATTGGTGTACGTGTCCGTCAGGCTCTTTGCTCTGGCTCGCACTCATATTTTGCTTTGGCTACACATCACACTCGAATGTTCGAGTGTTGTGCTTTTATTTCCTTGGTTCGGCACACCATAGACGGGTCCATGTGGAACTCACCATTGGTTCATTTAGTTGTTATTTTTGTTTGGTACTCGGTTCTTATACATCTTTGATCGTAGATTTCGATATAAAAATTATGATATCCGCTGAGCCAAGTGCTCAGTCATAAATATGTAGAAATAACGAACATCTATTCGTGTGAATAGCCAGTCATCATAGCTTGGAACCAATTGACTCTCTCGCATATATACATATCGTTACAAGCACATCCAAACTTGCACACACTCGTTTACACATACACGTATCATATAAGTGAGCAGACAAGTCAAAGCAGTGCCTTGCTTTACATTGCCTTGCTTTTAGATCACAAATTATTGTGATTTCGTCATGTTCATGCCTTGCATGGCTCATGCAATGTGTACGGATAGCGCATATAAAAGCGCAAACAAACACATTCAAATGCAGAAATGTTATTCCATTGTCTACATCGCATCGTATCGTATCGTATCGCATCGAGTGCGGCGTAGTACGTAAGTATAAAATAATGTTTTTGCGCTTTTCGTTTCACTACGACTAGACGGCAACGGGTAAATATTAATGCTAATGCTCTTTTTGATATTCTATGTGTATATTTTGAACGGAGAGAAAGAGAGAATGTGTGTGTGTGTGTGTGTGTGTGTCTGTGTGTGTGGCTGTCTAGGTTTTGTCAACAAGCTGTCGAGCGATAAAGACAATATTGAAGCGAACAAGATTAGAATAATGAAAAACAAAACACAACAATAAGAGAATGTAGCTTCAACGATGAAAACATGACGAAAATACGTTTATAATTTTGAAATAGTCGATGAGTGTTTTGCGGGAAAAACCACGAAGCTGTGGATCAAAAACAGATATCAGAAGCCCACACTCATTTCCGCACGCTTGCAAATGGAACCAAGCAATATACAATTACAAAATGAAATTTGAGAAAATATGAAAGAAACTGCTAGAAAACAAAAAAAAAAAAGAAAAGAAAAGAAAAGAAAAGCAAATAAACACACAACGAAGTAAACGTAAAGAAGAGAATCGCGGAATTCGGTGATAAATAATAATACTTGGCGATCGCATTTCGTTCGAAATAGTGCTTACATAAAGTGTTTTTGTGTTTTATGTGTGTACACTTTACATTACATACTTATAGTAGTGTTTTAATGTGCGCGCACCGCCGATCGATTCACTGCTATTTCATTCTTTTTTCTCTTCTCTACTGTAGTAATTGCCTATTTTTGGACATTTCACATTCCATGGCTACATTTATATACCGAAGAGTTTCTTTATCGCGCACTTAGTGCGCAGCGTTCATCACAACTAAAGCTTGCTCGGACATAAATAATCAATTTAATTTCCGCTTTGTCACAAAGAAGAAATAAAACAAAACAAAACGAAATAAAAACGAAGCGATGAGCACTAGGAAGCACATTGCTTTGCACAACGACCATTTTGTTTTTGTTCCAGTTCAATTTGAATATCATACGATCTAAGCATGTGAGCGACATGTGAAATGCACTGTGTGGCAATGTGTGACGCATTTGCTTTCATCGCTTCAGCTTTGGGCATCTCAGAGCCGAGTCAGCTTATTGCCCAAACGGTTTTCGACGATTGAACTAATGACGTGCTGTTGGCGACGACGCACATATTTCGTCTAGCTTATTCGGTCGAACACGACGTATCATGTTATTACGCGCAGTCAGTCGTATGCTCAATCGTTTCGTGTTGGTTGATTCTTGTTCTTTTCGAAATCGATCAATCGTTTTTGTTGGGGGGGGGAGTTTTGAGTTCGCAAAGCGAGAGAGAGAGAGAGCCGTTTCAATTCCGTCGAATAATGTAATGAAATGCCGCTGTGCCAATAATTTTGCATAAAATGGAATGGCTACACGTGCTTCTTATTCGGCAAATATTACGCACAAATAATCGAGAAAATTACAGTGATGCGCAAAGAAAATTGGCATTGGGCACACACATACACAGCACATGTAGAACAAATGCGTACAACATTCACTTATTTCGAATGTCACCACATTTCTACTTTAGAAAAAAAAAATCATAAACCAAATTAGTCGTATGATTAGTCGTAACGACAAGCGTGTTTTTCTCTTTTCTTCTTTCAATTATTGAGTGAGTTTCCACATGAATTCAGCGTGTCATTGCAGCTTTCATTCCTATATCAAATAGCATACTCAACCACAATATGATTAACCATATCACTTGGTTCGTAGGCTCTAATCATGGACAGGGTACAGAATTATTAGATAAATTTGTTCGAATTTATCTGTACATCTGGCTGATGAGTCATTTTTTTTTTTTGGAAAAACAAATTTTGATTTTTACATAAAAGAAACTCAACCAAACTTTACCATTATATTCGATAATAATTTTTCTTTATTTTGAATATTTTCCGTCCTCCATAAACATATGAAAGTCATTCGGCTCTTTTCGAACACCAACTGTGTTGATAAAACTTTTTCTTTTGTCTGTTCATTTGCTTACTCATTTCGAGTGCAACAATGAACACTGAACAATGCAATGTGCACAATTTACTTTTATTTTCAGCAGATATACTGAACGATCATCGGAGCAGTTGTATGCAATGTCGTGTTTAGTGCAGAAATGCATTCGAAACTAAACAAATTGTGTTGTTGTTTGTCATTGTCTATAGCTGTGATATTATGATATCAAATGTCTGTTGACTATTTTCAACTTCAAATGCATCGTTCAAAGTGGCAAATTATTTCTCAATTATCTCGAAATATGCACGTGCATCTACGACAAAGAAACGAAATAAAGAAATGGGATTGTGTTTCTTCTTTTTCTTTCTGTATGAAAATTCAGTGTAATGAGCATGGTTCTAGTCGCTCGTTGAGCTGCCGTGAACATATATCAAGACTGGTTGCTTTGTGTTACGAACTTTCAATAAATCTGATCGCAGAACTGTTCTTTGTTAATATGTGTTCAACCCATCCAAACTTTTTTTTTCGTTCGTTGGCTCTTTGTTCGATATCATTTCGTTTAGT